AGGGCTGGAGGATGGTCAAGACAATCGTAATTCATCGCGCGCGGCGATGGACGCGGTGTTTTGATTTGCGTTGGCTGCTCGGTTGGAGCACCGGATTTCATATCAACTGCGTTATTGTAGCAATCATGGCTCCTTTTGGTTGCACATTGTCTTTGCTCCCATCTACGACCTAGAAACGTCGCCATCAGCGGGCGCGACGGCGCACGCGAAGCTCATCAGCACCGCGAATCACGATTGTCTTGCCACATACCCTGCGGCTTGACTGTCTCTACTCTGTGAAACCAGGGGCAAGTGGGCCCCAACTACGTTTGTGCTTATTTTTTTATCAGAGTCCTTATCAAGTCAATTCTTTCAATTGTTTCGTCTAAATGGGGAAGCTCGACATAATTCTTGAAGCTAGTAATATTTCCTTGTACACGAGTTGAGAACTAGACCTGTGAATGTGGGTCATCACATCCACGCTACGGCAATGCAGTGAAGCCCGCGTTGCGAATAGCGTTACGTGCGCTTCATTCGCACCAGGGTCTATCTGATTTCATTTGGATAGAAATCTAGGGATTCCCAAGCGGGAGTAGCGCCCCACATTATTCGTCAATTTTTTTTGTTCTTGTGCCAGTAAATCGTCCACGTTCAACCACGAGTCACCGTGACCAGTCTCGAAATTTCCAGTAAACTTTTTTGAACACATTTGCGTTTTCTTACCTGCGTCATTTTGTTCTTATTTCATGTGTGCTGCGTCGTAGTGAATCAAGCTCTTCGTTTCTTACACTATTACTGGTTAAGTGGTTTCAGCACTATCCCTTAAGGAGGGGCATTCAAAACCCCGGGGAATTTAGATGTTTTTAGTGATGATGAATGATTTTTGCCTAGGCCGAAGGGAAGGGAGCTCTGGGGCAGGCGGGGTAAATTGCTTTGTGAAAATAGTGTCCCGCAACACGGTAGTTCCTCTTTTCCACAGAGACTTTTTTGAATGCCCATCCCGGCTAGGACAGCGGACTGTCTCAAGTTTCGTGGACTGCGTTAGCAGCAAATTATTTATACATGCGATATTTGTCATATATTCAATTTGTATTTGGAATTGTCGAGAAGAATTTCGCCAGCGTGAGGCTGCTTCCACGCAAAGGCTGTCATCGGCGCACAGGCGCCAAAGCTCGATATCGATCGAACGCGCGCAAAATCAATTCACACATTAGTGTGTGCCCAGTGGTTTTGCCTTGAAGTGTGAAAGCAACTTGAGTGTGACCGTCCGTATTTTCGCTTTTCGTGAGTATGTTTTATCTAAAAAGAATGATTTACAGCATTGGATGCATGAGGGTCGGCCAGCGACCGTTCGTCTTCTGGATGGCGAGTTTCTGGAGATTTCGGTAATCGCCAGACTGAGCGTGAACGACGTGCTGACGCTCGCCGCGCATCACTGCCGCATCACTCAGCCAGACGCCCGCTTCTTCGGTCTGGCGTTCATTGACGACAAGTAAGTGGCCAGTCTTTGGCTCCTTCTGTACTTTACGAACAGTAGTCGGTACTCCTGTTGAGGGAGGGGGGGAGGGATGGGGCACGAGGCAAGCTCTGCGTCCTTCCCCCAACAAAGCCTCAGGCTCAGGGCGCAGAGCAGCTTGGCTCTCCGCGGACTAGTCTCGCAGAACAGTCTCCGTGCGACCTGCTCGTATGCGCTTCAAACCCGAGTCCCGGTTAGCGCAAGGGATGCTGAGGGGCTGGCGCGTGGCCCTGCTTATGTGACTGTCAGCACCCAGTTGTCAGCCGCTCGCTGCGCCTTCAATAGTACAGGGCTATTCCAGTAGGGAGTGGAATTTTGGTGCAGTACACTCAAAGCATTCAAAACCACGACTTTGCACTGGTTGACTGGTGTGGTGTGTCAGCAGGATTGAAGTTCCGCCTCTACCCCAGTTTGCTTCGGCCTTTTCTGGAAGCTGCATTTCCCTAGGTCACGAAAACGAAAATCACGTTCATCTGCTCCCGGTCTACACAGTCATTATTATTTTCATACAGGTTCAATGGTACAGGTGCTGTTCAGGCGACAAAAGATCCAGGAGGAGAATGACGTGGAAAGCGAAGCGTCAAAAGTTAATAGGCCCCTGTGCCAGATGTTGCGAGACACGACTAAATCCGCACGTGCATTTTTTCAGCCAAACATCCGTGCGGCGCTGGCCGTTGAGATGAAAAGCAGATGAGCAAGGCGTAGGCATACGGTCCGAAGGAATCTTTGGTGGAAATGAATTACGCGAACTAAGTCAGCGACGCCGCACCAGGGCCCCACCGCATCCTACCGCCAAAACATAACGTGAGAATAGGTACCCCTGGTCAAAGGTAGGCATGTAAAGGCCTATGTTCCAATCTATTGTCCCTCTCCACTCTCTTTGTTGTTCGAGTGAAATGAGGTAGTCTTCTTTAACTCTAAGAGTAAGATAGGTAGTAGACTCGCGACGACAACCACCCAGATCATTCCCTAGGTAGTAACCAGAGACCTGTTGTCTCCGAGTTATGGTCGTCACCATTGTTTCCGTTCGGCTTCGCTCTCGACATAAATAAAACGACTACGAGCGTCGCGGTGTGATACAACCAAACATTGGCGATCAGGGACACCACGGACATACCAACGACACTCCCACCGTACCGAGGCATTCGCCAGCAGCCACACCCAAGTACACTACCAGCGAACAAGAGCTCGTACCCCAACCCAAGGATCATCAACATGCCGAAAGTCACTGCCGGAGACGCAACAATACCTGCCCCAGCCCAAGCACACTTGAGGTACTACTTCCAGATCTATGATACACCAAACTTCAATTCCTCCAGCATGAAGAGATATGCAAGCACGTGCTGTTCAAGGTTCCCATCTGCGCAGATAGGAAATAATGCGGACAAGACTATAGGAATAGGCCAGATATAGACCACGTTGAATGCAAAGTTCAAGAAGTTCGAACCAGATGAAGAAACCGGACACACTTTCGACTACTGGTATAAAAGGTACGGCCCAATGATTCGAGAGTCGAGTGTGCCAGATAGCAAGAAGAGAGATCTTATTCTGTTGAAACTGGAGGGAAATACGCGTTCTCGACAAATATGCCCAGACAGAATATTCTACCTTTACAACCGCACGAGATTGACCTCGATTCCACAGTAGCAAAGCTCCAAAAGTTATTCGCATCCAAGAAAACGCTAATTCGTCGACGATATGAGTGTCTGAAGATAACCTGCCCAGCACTGACTACAGACAACATACCGTTTCGAGAGTACGCCAATATGATCAAGCGGATGGACGAAGAAGCTCAGTTAAAGGAGATGGATTACACGGCGATGAAGACTTTGCAGTTCGTCGCAGGTCTTCAAGATCCTTCACTACAGAAGTACGTCTTAAGAATGCTCGTAAGTGCTCGAAACGCAAGCGGAAGAAGCGCCGTTGACAATCGAAGATCTCGTTGCTGACTGTGAAAATTTCACAGCTTTGAAGATGGATAACGCCAATATGGGAACAAGCCATGACATCCATGCTGTTCAGAAAAAGAAGGTCAAATGCTTCGGATGTGGAGGACCACATTTTAAGAGCGCTTGTCCACTTCTCAAACAGATCTCCAAGAAACCGAAAAGGCAGCACCACCGTCGTAAAAGGAAGCAATGCCGGAATGTCGCAACTTTTGCCCCTGAGAAAGCAAGAACATACGTCGATGTCGATGTCAGAGGACATCCTCTACGTTTCCAACTCGACACTGGAGCAGATATCACAGCCCTGATATCTCGTCGAACATGGAAAGCTCGGATCCCGCCATTGAATAGCCTGTACAACATAAAACGGTCAGACGGAATCACCGATGTAGATTGATGATCAGATTTCTTCAGGCCGGCGACTTCTGCCGTGAGAGACCGTACTACGGAACGGAATGTAAAAGCGAAATGGTTATTGCTACTTCACCGGAAATACAAATCTACTTGGTTTGGAATGGTGTATTCAACTTCCCGCATACAAGGAGTTGCAAAGCAAATACCACTGTCGAATGGTGAGCGAAGCGGAAACTGCCCGAGCACAGTTAGTTGCAGACCTGAAGAAGCGATACGCAGAAGTTTTCAGCTGCGAGCTTGGTCGATGCAAGAAAAGGAAAGCGAAGTTGTTCTTGAAGGAAAACACAATACCTGTTTTCAAAAAGAAGCGACCAGTCCCTTATGCCTCCGTGCCAGAATTAAGACTGCAGAGATTGATCTTTGCGTAACTCCATGGTGTGATTTCACAGATGATAACTTCGGAATTGTGCATCCTCCGTCGTTGGAGTCAAGAAGATAGAATGGACAAGATTCGTTTGTGCTGCCGACTTCTCACAAGGTGACAGGACGCGACGCCCTACCACTGCATCAGCATTCATCACCTCCTACAGAAAAGGTGTGCAGAAGGCTAAATAGAGGACAGAAATTCACACAAATCGACTTGGCAGATGCGTATCTGCAGGGAAAAGTCGAAGAAGATTCGAAGGCTGTGTTATGATCGATATACACCGCAGCAGTGACCCAGGAAACTTCGATTGAAGACAGTCCAAGAAGGACGAAAAAGAAGAATATCGAAGGTCACAAGAATGCTCAAAGAGAAGCAGTCCAAGCTCCATCATGGAAAACCAGGAGGGTCGAATCGGATGGAAGAAGCCGTATGGGCAAGAGAGTTCCGCCCTGGACAGAAGAAAAGGATTCCAGCTCACGTGAAGAACCGTCATGGTCAAGTCATGTATGACGTACTGACGGAAGATGGTCAGTTTTGGAGAAGACACGTCTACCAAATTCGACCAAGATCGAAAGGAATCACCAGCTGTAGAGCGCAGATACCTGATGGGTCCATCTGTGAAGAAAATCCACAGAAGAAGCTGAAAGAAGCCAAAGCACAACCAGGAAAAGAAGACCTCGACCGATTCAAATGACGACATGCTGAATCGAGATGCAGTCGCTGCCCCGCCGGCAGATACAAGCAAGGCGAAACGACACCGACAGCCACCCAGCCGTCTTCAAGTGAATCCAAGAATGAAGACATATGATACATATTTCGTAGGGGGGAGGTGTTGAGATGAGTAGTTTGTTTTACTCTTAAGCTGATAGCTAGTACTGGAGCACACCAGATCATTCCTGTATAAAAGACTGTTTGTCGAGTATGGTTCACTTTTCGTTCGGCTTCGCTTCGACATAATAAACGACTACGCTGCTCGCGGTGTGATACACAACATTCTTGTGCCATACTTTCATTTCCATTTTTCGGTTACTTTTTTGCCTACGTGTTAATCCAAAATGCTGAGAACTACGTTCTTCTCTTTACTTGTCTCGAGATTTATTTCGTCTATGGAACTGTCATAGTTATACATTAAAAAAATCTATATACAGTGTCCCCAGCCCCTCAATGGAGGTCCTGCAACGATCATTTTTCAGTTCCTCCACGGCAATTGAGGGCCTCTGTCGTCTATACGTGAACGGTGAAGTAAAATTACCTTGAACTGTTTCCTTCAAACAGTATTTTTAGGGCAAGCGAGTAATGAAATGATGAATGACCCGACCATATTGCACCTATTTAATTTACTGTCGACTCTTAGAGTGCCGCGACATCAAAAAAGGAATTCTTTCGTTGCGTTCCAGTTTTCGAGTTACACATTTGATAAGACTTCAAAACCGTTATAGCTTTAAAAAGTTGTCCTATCTGTTATCAGTAAGTTCGCGTTTATACCTTGCGAACGTGGAGTGTGCGTGATTTGGAAGAATCGGCGATTACGAAAAATCCACGAAAGAAAAGCACACGGGTATGTGGCAAGAGAATCGTAATTCGCCGCGCCAGTGGGCGTCGCGTGCGACGTCGCGCCCGCTAATGACGACGATTTTAGGTGGTATTGGTCGAGAATAGACAATGTATGACCAAAAATAGACATAAGTGTCTACCATGTCCTTGTCTACATGAAATCCGATGCTCCAATCGAAAGGGTACGCAAATTGAGGAAACGTCGCGCCCATTGTGGCGCGCGACAAAGCGGCAATCTACGACTCTGTTGCCCGTCTCCCTCGATCCACAGAGTCTGCGATTCGGGGTCAGTTGAGTCTCATCCTACCCACTTCCACCGATTCTCTTAAATCCGGGTTCACCACATCCGCAAGTATGATGCGGTTTATCTCAAGAAAGTATTTGTGATGGTACTTTTTCCGTCTCGCGGGTTTTAGGTCCTCTACCTCATAATGTGGATGGGGTGGAGATCTTGTCTTGATTGTGGTGTCAAGACTGATTAGTCACGCATACCATCAGTGTTCATGTTGTTCCGCTGATAAGGAAATTTTGGCGCTAAGATATTTCAAGAGAGGTGCATGTGGGGGACCGCTGGACCACGCCTGCCTTCCCCTCCCCAAAGAGCCTTATGCGCCGTTCCCGCTGCGCCCCACATGTTGCAAATGCCCACGCCAGCTGTAGGAAAACAATTCGTTCGCTTCACCAAGAGATAGAGAAAAGAAATAGTCTCCACAAATGATAAGCCTGAACCTTGTACTAGTAGGCTGGACTAATTCTTATTAGAAGCCATAATGTTCCCATGTTACTCTGAAAGTTTCCCTTCGTTTCAGAGCGTCATTTTGCAGCTATACTGTCACTAAAGCTGACGTTTCCAGGGATCACTATCACTGGCTACAACCTGGGAAAAATCTACTCGATTACGAATTTCCAAGTGACAAAGCAGTGATCCAGCTGACGCATAATGTTCGGTAAGCGAATGTTTTCAAAACAATTTTATGGCGAAAATGACACCACATAAATGTTTGTTTCTTGTTGCTCCAAGGAAGTCCTCATCTTGAGGTACACCCGCGGAAAAAATTTCCAAAGTGAACTGTCAACTGTCGAAAGAAAGGGAAACAAAGGGCTAACGATATTATTATTCTTATTTATTTGCTTATTTACCTTTGAATGCTTTTTATTGAGCAGCAGTGACGACCAGGATTGCTGCAATACTGCGTGCATACTTTACAGCGTCCACCGTTTTCAGCGGCAAGGGAAGTATACGTGCGATCCAGCAAATTGAGCGTCCGCGAGCGTTTTTTTGAGCACTTTGAGCGAGTGAGAAAGCATAAGAAGTGAAGACGGTAGCGGATGCTTAAAACGCTAGGTGGATCGATACCTATACTTTCCTGATCGCTCAAAACGCTAGTGAACGCTCAGAACGCTACTGCAAAGTATGCACCGAATCCTAAGAACGCGTTCATACTTCGCAGTTCGGTCGCATGGTCAGAGCGACTCAGTCATGAAGTATGAACGTGGCCTTAACGATGCTAAGTTATACGTGCGTGAAAGTAAGTACGTGAGTTAAATTTTTTGTAACATTTTCATTTCAATGGTTTGCAATACCATTTTTTGAACGTTTCATTGTGTAGCTGGATTGGCTTTGGACAGAATCCGTAAGTTTTGTCCAGTAACTCAATTTAAAGTATAGGAGAGGGTGGGGGGGCGGAGGGGTCGAACAGAGACAGTGAACAAGTAAGGACATTGTTACTCTCTTGTGAAGTTTCCTTCACAGCATTTACCAGCGAATGCGTAACATTATCGCGCAAAAGTTGATAGAATCCCTGCAAGAGTGCCTTTCATTTCCTACTTCCGGTGAGGAAAAAATGACGCAATTTCAATTTATTGGCGAGACCACCCAATCGTAAGTATAACTGCGCCCTAATATTTCGCTATTCGTGGTAAATGTGTGAAGTGAAAACTTTCACAGAGAGTAACAATGTCTTACATTGTCACTGCTCTGTGTTTGCCCTCTCGCGCCCCCCCCCCACTCTCCTCATACTTTAAATTGAGTTACTGGACAAAACTTACGGATTCTGTCCAAAGCCAATCCAGCTACACAATGAAACGTTCAAAAAATGGTATTGCAAACCATTGAAATAAAATAAGCAAAATGCTATACAAACTTACATGTTCTGGCACGTTCATACTTCATGATTGAGTCGCTCTGACCATGCGACCGAACTGCGAAGTATGAACGCGTTCTTAGGATTCGGTGCATACTTTGCAGTAGCGTTCTGAGCGTTCACTAGCGTTTTGAGCGATCAGGAAAGTATAGGTATCGATCCACCTAGCGTTTTAAGCATCCGCTACCGTCTTCACTTCTTACTCGCTCAAAGTGCTCAAAAAAAACGCTCGCGGACGCTCAATTTGCTGGATCGCACGTATACTTCCCTTGCCGCTGAAAACGGTGGACGCTGTAAAGTATGCACGCAGTATTGCAGCAATCCTGGTCGTCACTGCTGCTCATAAAAAGCATTCAAAGGTAAATAAGCAAATAAATAAGAATAATAATATCGTTAGCCCTTTGTTTCCCTTTCTTTCGACAGTTGACAGTTCACTTTTGGAAATTTTTTCCGCGGGTGTACCTCAAGATGAGGACTTCCTTGGAGCAACAAGAAACAAACATTTATGTGGTGTCATTTTCGCCATAAAATTGTTTTGAAAACATTCGCTTACCGAACATTATGCGTCAGCTGGATCACTGCTTTGTCACTTGGAAATTCGTAATCGAGTAGATTTTTCCCAGGTTGTAGCCAGTGATAGTGATCCCTGGAAACGTCAGCTTTAGTGACAGTATAGCTGCAAAATGACGCTCTGAAACGAAGGGAAACTTTCAGAGTAACATGGGAACATTATGGCTTCTAATAAGAATTAGTCCAGCCTACTAGTACAAGGTTCAGGCTTATCATTTGTGGAGACTATTTCTTTTCTCTATCTCTTGGTGAAGCGGTTTTCCACGCTGGCCATGCAACATCCGCAACTGTAAGGCTCTTTGGGGAGGGGAAGGCAGGCGTGGTCCAGCGGTCCCCCACATGCACCTCTCTTGAAATATCTTAGCGCCAAAATTCCTTATCAGCGGAACAACATGAACACTGATGGTATGCGTGACTAATCAGTCTTGACACCACAATCAAGACAAGATCTCCACCCCATCCACATTATGAGGTAGAGGACCTAAAACCCGCGAGAGAGCGGATAAAAGTACCATCACAATATACTTTACCTGAGATAAACAGCATCATAGTTGGGCGGATGTGGTGAAACTGCCAGGGATTTAAGAGAATCGTGAAATGGTAGGAGTGAGACTGCGACTGACCCGAAATCGCAGCCTCTGTGGATCGAGGGAGTACGGGCAACAGAAGTCGTGGTTGCCTGCTTTGTCGGCGCGCCACGCATGGGCGCAACGTTGTCTTAATTTCCGTACTCTTGGATTGTGCATCGAATTTCATATAGACAAGACATGAACCAAAATAGACACTTATGTCTATTTTTGGTCATACACTGTCTATTCTCAACCAGTGCCAACTAAAATCGTCTGCACTAGCGGGCGCGACGTCGCACCCGACGGCCCACTGGCGCGGCGAATTACGATTCTTTTGGCCACTACCCGTGGCTTTTTCTTTGCGTGGATTTTTCGTAATCGCCGATTCTTCCAAATCACGCACACTCCACGTTCGCAAGGTATAAACGCGAACTTACTGATAACAGATAGGACAACTTTTTAAAGCTATAACGGTTTTGAAGTCTTATCAAATGTGTAACTCGAAAACTGGAACGCAACGAAAGAATTCCTTTTTTGATGTCGCGGCACTCTAAGAGTCGACAGTAAATTAAATAGGTGCAATATGGTCGGGTCATTCATCATTTCATTACTCGCTTGCCCTAAAAATACTGTTTGAAGGAAACAGTTCAAGGTAATTTACTTCACGGTTCACCGTATTAGACGACAGAGGCCCTCAATTGCCGTGGAGGAAGTGAAAAATGATCGTTGAGGACCTCCATTGAGGGGCTGGGGACACTGTGTATAGATTTTTTTAATGTATAACTATGGCACCATTAGACAGACATAAACGCTCGAGACAAGTAAAGAGAAGAAATTAGCTCTCCCACGCATTTTGGATTAACACGTAGGCAAAAAAAGTAACCGAAAAATGGAAATGAAAGTATGACAAAGAAGGAGAGAGGAAAATAATTGGAATAGGCTTTATTCCACTTTGACTGAGTACCTTTTCAGCGCTATTTTAGTAAGGTGGGGCTGTTGGGGCGTGTTGACTATGGTAATTCTATTTCCCACAAAGGTCCTTCAAATCCTACGCCTTACCATGACTTTCATCTCACCGCCAGCGCCAGTCGAATATACACACATGTTTATGGTGGCAAATGGACGTCGGATTACTGTACTCGCAAATTTGCACAGGGCCTATTAACGTTTTGAGCTTCGCTTCCACGTCATGTCCTCGGGTTTTTTGCGCTGAACAGCACTTAACACTGGACTGTATAAAGAAATGACTGTGAACCGGAGGGATAATGATTTTCGTGGTTCGGACTAGGGAATCGAGCCTTCCAGAAAGGCGAAGAAGTGCTGGCAGTGCCCATAGTCGTCGGTTTTGAATCTTTGAGTGAATGCACCAATCTCCACACCCTGAATGGAGTAGCCCTGTATTATTCGAGGCGCAGCGAGCGCGCCTGACAATTGGTGCGGCTGACCGTTACTCAAGCAGGGGCCAGTGGCACCAGCCCTTCCGCATCCCTTGCGCTAACCGGGACGCGGGTTGAAGCGCAGAAGAGCAGTTCGCACGGAGACTGTTCTATGAGAGTAGTTCGCGGGCACCCTGAGCCTGAGGCTTTGTTGGGGGGACGGACGCAGAGAGCTAGCCTCGTGCCCCACCCTCCCCCGCCCCCCCCCCGCAACAGGAGTACGGACTACTGTTCGTAAAGTACAGAAGGAGCCAAAGACTGGCCACTTACTTGTCGTCAATGAACGCCAGACCGAAGAAGCGGGCGTCTGGCTGAGTGATGCGGCAATGATGCGCGGCGAGCGTCAGCACGTCGTTCACGCTCAGTCTGGCGATTACCGAAATCTCCAGAAACTCGCCATCCAGAAGACGAACGGTCGCTGGCCGACCCTCATGCATCCAATGCTGTAAATCTTTCTTTTTAGA